ACCTAAACTACACGTATTCTCGTCTAACTCAATCAATTCAATAAGTAATCGGTATGAACAGTGGCGTCCTCGGATGGGACCCCGTGCCCCCTCCTCATTATAAAAAAGCTGACCGTTCTATAATAGTATTTTTTTATTTTTTAATACTTATTTATACACTTTTATTTCAAAGAATTTACTAATAATCACTGGAGGAGAGGCCTTTACCTTTAGAGGAGTTCTTACAGAATATCCACAATAACTTTTCCAATAATATTAGCAATTAGTGTTCCATTTTCATCTTTCTCGATTACACGGTAATGGTTAAGTTCACACAATTGGTCTAATGATTTAAATTTGTACAAGTATTTGTACAAATTTAATCTATTTGTGCAAAAGAAAAACATCCTATAGACCAGTATAGACTCGGATTGCACTCAAGGTCAATACCAATAAGTACGTTCAGCAGTACTATTTAGTTACCAATAGTGATATAAGCCGTTTATTAATTTTATTTGCTAAGAAATACCCATATAGCTGTAACCCTAAGAAACCGATTACAAAACGTGATTACGTATTAAGAAAATGTATATACATATTTAGCTAGGTATTAAATAAGATTATTAGAAAGTAAATAAAATTAGTGTTTGTTTATTACATTAGATGTTTAATCGATTTACACTTTACAATTACGTACTTTAGAAGAATATTTTGCATAAACGATTAGATAGGTTAGGTTAGGAATTAGTGGTTATATGTATAATATTTTTTTGCTTTGTAGTAACCGTGTTCCGTATTCCTATGTTGATTATTGCAAGTGGTTTTATTGACTTAAAAATTATTTTATTAATATATGTTGAAAGTTACTGAACCGCGACTGCCTTATTAATTGCAAAATCCGATAGGCACAAACACATAATTGAATTATGTGAATGTTCTGGAATATCATATTAAATTATAAATATATATTTACAGTTTGTGTGCGGGTGTTCATACACCTACTCACGTACTCGTAAACATGTGTAGGTGGAGTTTTTCAGAACGACAAATTTAGGATCACTCGGATATATTTATGGATGTGATATGAACAATTTAATTACATTAAAAATATAATACAGACAAGAGTAAGGATTTGATAATTCGACGTCAGGGTTCTAGCGATATATACATTTTACCATCTAAACTGCCGTGGTTTGATTAAAAGAATATATTTATTAACCGTACACTAGTAAATAAATACCATCAAGTGGGCGAGGATTAATGTTCTTTACGAAATCTTTATATTACAACGATATATTTATATTCGCGTAATACACGAGATCCATTCATGAAAAAAATCCTCGATTTCTCGTAACAATTGATATTCATAAAAGTCATGAGTAACCTAAACCCGTTAGACCCGTTAATAAAACACGTCTTACAAGTCATATGTCTGTCCAATATCGTCTCAACTGGAATACGTAATGAATATAAACATTTGTCACTACGGGGATCATTTGAATATTTACATACAATATGGAAGAACTACGATCATCCTTAATTTTCTGTCCCATATAAAGTGTTTTTGCGGCTTGAAATACAAATGGTTTTGTTTTTTAGTCAAAATAATAATAATAATAATAATAGTATAAACAAAATAATAACAGTATATTACTTTTATTCTAAGAAAATAACAAGTTGAAACAAAGTTACAAGAATTAGAGAGAAAATCAATGCTGTCTTTGTTTTTGTGATATAATTAATTATAGATGGTAATTACACTGGCGTGATCAAAAAACTTCCGACGTGAAATCACCTCCTCGTTGCATTAGCACTTGTTATGTACCAATTACAAGAATATTTTGCGATCATTTACCCAACACTAGCTCAATACATAATAAATAAAAATTTATCAGTTATATTAATTTTAGAACCAAAAAAATACTGATTCGTTTTCATAGACATTACATTTCTCTAAAAATGATAGTAATTTTTTTGTTGAAATATATCAGCTAGTAGTGTAGTGTTGAAATATATGTAAGGGAATAAATACTAAAAAAATGTTTTTGTAAGACCAGAAGGAGAAGCTACATATAATAAATTTTTATCACTACAAAGTATACAAATACTTTAAATTTCCAAAACAAATCCAAACTAACTTTGACAAAACTTGTCGATTTCGTTAATCTGTGAATCAGCGAAAGAGGAACTTTGAAAGTTTACCAGGATTTTAAAACGGATGAGAGGGAACCCCTCAACAAAGTTTTAAAATGTTTTACAGTAAAGATAAATGGTTAAGCTATTAAATATAGTTCCGTCACGAATCTATAACTTGAAAAAGATTTTCAACTCTTCGAAATATACGTGATATGTTTTAAATGTTCAAGACTTAGTTCAAGGTTAAGCTAGATGTTTATAACGCACAAGATATGTTGAGATCTTTTAAATGGCGCGGAAGCGTCATTTAAAGAGTTGATGTCGATCCATTCAGTAATAATCCCTTATCCTACAGTAATTCGATATCGTTGGCAACTATTAAACTGAGAAAATTAACCGTCTAACAAACTTTCTCTATACCCTTATGCTCCATAATACAATATAGAGGACAAAAACATAGAATAAAAGAAAGTGTCTCCATAATAAATACCACTATATTTTCAATCACATTTTAATAGTTGTTTCTAAAGATTATCTATTACTCTTTTTTGCAGACAGCATTTTAGACAGAAAGTTTAAGGTTAGTAAAAACCTAAATATTTTGTAAATATATGCCTTAATTATATATTTAAGGATTAATTATATGAAGATATCAAATAAGAAAGAGACTTGAACTATTACTAAGGCAAAGAATAATTTGATCCTTCTAGTACGATAATAATTGTCGTTTGCTTGAATAGGTTAGTATTGCAGTTAGTTGGCAGTTTGGACTCTTTATCTATAACTTACATAGTTGGAATCGAATTCTGATATCCGAGGTGTGATCTTGAGCCTAACATACTTATAATGGATCATATAAAAAAGAAAATTGTAGCATAGCTTTTAAAATTTACAATCATGAAAACACTTTTTTATGGAGCAATTATTACTTTAATAAAAATAAACTAGTTGAAACCGAACATTTTTATTATTGTCAAATAATATTAAATTAAACCTTTCGTCTAACTAGCTAACAGTAAATTCATAAGCAAAGCAGTAAGTAACCTGTCAGGCTAAAGTGAACTTACGCAACGAAGTCTAGATAGCTCGATAGTGCCGGCCAACTAAAGTATAAGTTGAGTCTTGTCAAACTACAATAATAACAGTAAAATTAAAAACAATTTCATTGTTTTAGAAATAAAATACAAATAAAAGTTGTAAAATAAATATTTTATTATAATTATATACTGCTTAGGTAATATACTGAAGAATATTGTTTATCCAAACCTGTGTTTGTCCATATTAGTAATAACGATTTCCACTACAAAATATATTTCAAAGACAATCTTTAAATAAACTATTAATATAGAAAGTGTATAATTCTTCTGATTTTAAATGCACATTCACAAGGCATGCTAGCCGTAGGTTTGTTTCAAACTCTGTGGCAGTTTCACAATAAACTGGTTAGATCAGTGCTACAGTCTTTGACACTACTCCCATTTCCATAGTATAACTAAAATGTCATAAGGCGTCTAGAAATTTATAACGTCAATGTACTCAACCTATTGCAAAGCTTAGTAACTACCTTTATGATGATTTAAAATCCATAAAAATTATACACTCATTTCAATATACGTTTGAGTACAAAGACATGGATTAGTACTAGAAAATATTTTTTCATTTATAAATAGAGCTCATTAATTTCCGGGCTTAGTGAAATCGAATCGGATATACATCAAGTGTATCCGTATTACTAACGAACCGTGAACACTGAAAGCATCTGTTAATTGACTGATTTCTAAAACATTATAGTCGTTATACTAACGAAGGCCTTTACGGATAGCATTGTTCTGATTAAAGCGAATATTTGATGCTATTCCCATATTAAGTTGTAGCTTTGGAGTGCACTATGAGAATGTAACTGTTGTTAAGTTGCAGTATGTTTTAATTGAATATCGTTGATTTTGATGTGTGCTGTATTACTAATATTGAATATAGGTATCCTTATATTTTATTCACATATTATAAACATTAAAACTCTTTCATTTTCGTATAAATGTTAGCTAATAATTATTGTATTTAAAAGGATGGCTTATTATAAATATGCTATTCTCAACATATTACCTTGAAGACAAGCTAGCTTTATAATGTTAATTTATAACATGTATAAATTTTTAGTAAGTATTATTTTAAATAAATGTAGATAATATTAAAAACATAAACAATAGAATGGGAGAGTCTTTGAGCATTGGGATGGAAATGAAGACTAAGTGTGGTTTTAGGGAAAAATAAAAAATTCAAATTATAATGCTTGATATATACACATTATTTCTTTTACCTAAAACGTGTTCACAAAAGTTTAAATTGAAGCATTGAACTCATGCAGAAATTAATTGATTTTATCCTGATTAAAAACATGAAACTTAAAATAAACTTCAAAATATAATTTAACTTACAAAATTTTAAGTAAGAAGATTGTACTTTAACTAAAGGTTTTTTCCAATACACTGTATACGGGGCCGCTAAGTATATAAGTTTTTAATACTTCATACCGCATATGAGCATTAAATAAATATTTATATTTTAAATTTTACTTTCAATTATATTATATTATATTTTTATTTATATTCACATAGGTAATCGAGATATTTGAAAACATGATTTATTTTAAATAATTATTATCCTAAAGTTCAATTTTATCGGATCAAAAAAGCTGGACCATAAAATTTACATTAATATGGTGTTTCACAACTTTAAACATAATTTGAAGTTAAAACTTCAATGACAACGGGCTCACCCTTCCACTAACATTTCACTTCACCCTACTTCAAGTGGGGGCTCCGGTCACAATCAGTCACTGAGGAACCAGTGCTGTGTTCATATCCATTATAAGACATAGTTCAGAAATGTGCGGGGATATGGGAAAGGCTGTTTTGAGGGCGCTTACGGGAGCCCTCCTTTGTGGATTGGTGTCAGATGCTGCTTATTTACAGGTAGGCTTATTATTATTTTGAAACAAAAAATAATTTTCGTTGTGTGGATCAATTAGCATTTACCTTTTTATAGATATTAATACAATTATAATGACTTGAGTTATGAACATTAGGTTAATAAATTATAATATCATTATCATTTATATTTTTTTTTCAAAATTTAGCCACTGCATCTAATTCAATTTAAGGCCAAAAAAAAACTTGCAGGATGTTAAATGACATCCAGACTATCAATGTTGAAAAAACTATAAAATATTTCTATGTATACTCTTTGGTAAATTAAACAAGGTATTGGAGGATGGATGCTCAACTTCTATGGTTTTTGTTTTCGTTCTAGCAAATTCGATAGTTCCTACAAATTGACTTCCGATTGACTTTTCGAATTGCGGCATGAGTTTATAGGTAAAAATATGTTTTCTTAGATGCAATTTAATGTTATTGTTGCCAGAATGTTATTTCTGTTATATAAGCAATCATATTACGGAGATAAATTAAGTAAATAAAGTTATTGAATATGGGAAAGATATTTTTCATGGGATAATTTGTATTATACTACATACTTTTTTTCGTGTGATTGTTGCAAAATTTATAAAATTTGTTTATGTTTAAAAATTTATTCTTTAAGTCAAGCAGTAAATTGCAGAATGAAAAATGATAATAAATTTAGAAGTTCTCGAATCTTAAATCCCGATGCGCAATTCACGGGCCCAAGTTTTGATATAATTGGTCCTCGTACTAGAATTATGGCAATAAAAGGGAAGGTTCTTAAAATATCTAGTAGCAATAACTCGCGTACTCATAAGGGAACACTAACTTTCGCAATTTTCCTTCGGGTTTTCCTCCTAGCCCTTCAAAGGCGAATTACTATCGATTAAATTTTCTCTCAATTTCGTAAGGTCTGCTTTTTATTTTCATTTCTTTGATCAAGTTTCTCAAAGTAGAAATTGTTCGAAAGTTTGTTAACACTAAATTTGTATTCAGAGGTGAACTCACAAATTCTCATCTCTTGAAGTTCACTCTATTTGTTTTATTTTTGTGTAGATGCATTGTGTTTTCGGTTGTAGAAAAAAATTTGTGCTATTATCAACTAATTTGTTAGATCCATCCCATGATATTAGTGTATTTGTAGATATTTATTAATGTCATATGTTTTTAATCATTGAATAAAGAACTAATAATTTTGTAATTACCGATTTATCTGTTGTGAAACTATATTTAAAAAATATATATAGGTATTTAATTTCTAAGACTTATTTTATTTCTAGTAAAAAAATATGTAATGACGAATTTTAAAGAACCTTTTGATTGCAAATGTTTGTATTTGAGAATTCAAGTCTATATTTTAAAGTACTTTAAAGTCTTCTAAATTTAACAGTATTTGCATTAAGACGATTTGTTGTTTCTTTCAAGTACTTTAAAGAAAATATATGATATTCTTAGTTATTCACATTAACAGACCTTTTTCAATATAAACTAGGTCAATATAAAGAGAAGTATGCTACATAGTTAATTTTATGTTGTTATGACAATCTTTACAAAGAGTCTCATAATAGTTTTTATACATACCTCAATTTTTTGGTGATTAATTTGTTAAAAATATTTTGCAATTAACAAATTTTTGAACTGTACAAAAAGAAAAAGAAATATTTCATTTCAAAACGTAAAATATAATCAAGTAAAACATTTTAGTAGTCTTTTAGTTTGTTTTAGTTAGTTTCAAAAGTTTCGATTCAAAAGTACTCATCATGTAGGCATATGTAATTTCGAAACAAAAAGGGAAACTAATAAGTAAGAAATAAGAAAAGATTTAGGTAAAACTAATAAAAGTAAAAACTTTGGCCCGGTTTGTTCAGTGTAACGAGGAGATAGTGTGTCCACTGTCTGCTCACTGTTCCTTGTTTGATTTTAATACAGTTCTACTTGGGATAGCTATAGATTTAAAATTATTTATGAAAATAACATATTTCAGTTTAGACAGTTTTAGTAAAGATCCTATTAAATTCTATTTAATTTATATTCAATTTTTAACGACACGCTTATTAAAATACATGATAGTTTTATTTATGTAGTATAAATTTGTTTTTAATATGTTAATGTAAAAAATATTAGAGTAATATTTTTAAGTAAAGTAAAGTACACTTAAGATTGAAATTATTTTCTTCCGATACTTGGAATTTTTTGAGTTTATCGAATTATGAACTCAATTTTTCCTTACAAAAACGAAGTGGAAGTTGAATAATTTTCTTACTAAGGAGCTGAACTTCAAAATGTCTACATAAAAAAGTTTATCTATCTTTATTATTTTATTTATGAAAATAACTCTGTTAAAGTTCATCATAAAAACTGTAATACCATTTTCAATCATTGTAGAAGTTTTTTGGTCATAGAAGATATTATTAAATTAATATAGAATATATTGGTCTTCGCAAGTGCCATAATTTATATCTGGTCTATACTTTTTGATAAATTTGAATTAAAGTAAACAGTTCAATATAATGTTAGTTTATTTTAATTATATCATTCTTATACTAATATGTCAGGACAGATAAAGCTGTACGATATAATAACAACATTTCTCTGCTCTGCTATAATATTCAATATTATACATATATCCAAGGTTACACAGATTTGAAAGATAATTAGTAAGTCAATATATCATAACTCCATATAGTACAAGTTTAAGCTTGTTCAGTTTGGGCACAACCGCGGGCAGAATTATTATTAAAGGTGTAAACTTTGTCAACATATTCAATGTTGTGATATCAACATATATGTCGGTAATACTAAAAACGTCTACGTAATGAAAAAATATTTTTAAACCATCTCATTTTACAATCAAAATAATAATTACCTTATTGTAGATAAAAAAACTGAATATTACAACACGTTCTAATATAATTCCGTGTTTCACGAAAAAGTTATTAAACTTTTTATGATGAAGACTTTCTTTTTAGTTATTGCATCTTTAGACATTAATTGGTTATTTATATAGACTACCGCCGTATTATGATTATAATATTATATATCATACATTTCCTCTATTTTTTTATTTGATTGAACGTCTTGTTTTGTTATTTTTTCATCTCTATTGCTAAATTTTAGGTGTTTTTTCTTAAGCCTCCAACGTTCGACGGAATGGGAACGTTTTATTCGGTTGGTATCAGAGGTTTTTCGTTTGTTTTTTGTGCAGACGAATACACTTATACAGGATAAGTGTGAAATTTTATTCGAAATAGCAGTGGATTTGCTTTAAAGTGAGTTTGCATGTATAGTTTAGAGCGCTTTTTATTATATTTGAAACTTTACGTCTGATGTTTTACCAAGTATATCCAGCTTATATGGTAATACTGAAACTGATAAGCAGGAAACTGGTAAATAAAACTTTACATAAATATGTTTATATATACATTAAAATTGAATTTTTATTTAAACAAGTTGCGAGTAAACTGTTAGTATGATAAATTTATTACACGATACCATTGTGACATAATTTTATTTTGACGTAATCGTTTATCTGTTTCTTTGATATAAATATAGCAAAACAGAACAATAAGCCAAGCAATTTGATTTTTCTGGTTACGTATAAATAGTAAATGTGAAACTATACAATTTATATTATGAAAATTGAATCAATTGAAACATTTATGATTCTCACTTCAAATGAAGGTTCTAAATTGTATAATAATAAATTTTATTAAATAAATACTGTTCTTACCTAATCGAAAAACTTATGGGCGAAAAGTGTAACTCAATAATTATAATATGGTAAAAATAAAATATACTATTAAAATGTATATTAATATGGACTATATGTGTCTACATTAAACTAATCTAAAAATATGCAACAATTCTGATATGTTTTAACTCTATATAATCAAGTCTTTTTGAATCAAATATTTTTTTAACCACTGCTTAAATAACAAGAAATCGTAAAACTGCAAATTAAGCCCTTAGAAATAAAATATAGCCTAGATCTTGCGTATACATTTAAGGTAAGTGTGGAATTAAGTGACAGTACGTTCCCTAGTCATGGTCGACGGGGTCTTGCGCAGTCGCATTGGGAAATATCCAGAGTTATAAGAATGCTTCTGGGTATTATATTTCTTATATATTTTATGAACATTGTATTAAGTAGTATTCGAATACTATGTTTCTTCTGAATATATATATAGACGCACACACACACACACACACAAGTATAAATATATTTAGAATGAGTTATTTTTTTAATTACAACGATTGCTTTTTACAGCAGACAACAATTTACCGATAACTGTCTATGAATTAAGGAATAGTGATCGGTTAAAATGTTTAAACAAAGATGTTTTAGCCTTTTCATCATTCATCACTCAGTAACATTATAAACGTACATACCTAAAACAATTTTATATTTTAATAGTATAGTTAAACATAATATTATATTTATAGTATGAAGAAATTGTTATATTTTAGACATAAGAAGTCGGAAATACATATATAAATAACTTGAATTTTAAGCGAGTTTACTAAAATATGTAAATAAAATAAACGTTTGAATCCCTGGTGACTGTAATATCAAATAATATTCTAAAATAACGGTCAAAGTATAATAAAGCGAGTTTTTTGCAATCAATCTGAAGTATACCTTGACGTGGAAAATATAAGGTTTAATTTATAACACTTCGTTTGAACCTTCATATGCTTGTAAAATGGAACATATGTGACAATAAAGGCTTGGATTTAATTTATAAGCATTAATTGATAGTGATTGGATAGGTAACCTGTTTTTTATCAGATAATATTTTTATTATAAATATATAGATCGAAAAAACTGAATGTCCTGGTATTTTATTAAATCATCTAAAGATTTAAAATATAAAAGTAATCGATTCAATCGGTATTTCAACATTATTTCATTATTTATATATTTTAATGATTAGGTTAAATATTACTTATTGTTGTTTCTTAACAATAAATTCGCATCTGAATATGAAGTATTACAAAACGTCAATAAACGATATGTTAAAGAAGTCCAACAATGCCAACAATTGTTATAACACGCCCATTCCTCCCTTTCTTTTTCGAATATGAATACTTAATAATGTTTACTTATTATTTTCACAATCATATTTTTTTAAAACTAAACAGAAAATATAGCTAATTAACAATTTTTAACTCAAATCATATTATGTAGTATAACGTCATGCTACTTATTTGATTAAAAATCCTTAAAATTTAACCGTTGAAAGTGAACCTAATTCTACGTAAGGTTGAAATGTTAGCTATTACATGAACCAATATCCACTCGGAGTGATGTAACTTTCGACTTCCTTAATTCACTTTCGTTTTGTTGAACTGTGAAAACTGGAACTCAGTCAAGGCAAGCCACATGTTACATAATAATTCTTGATTATCTTTCTTAGCGGCCTTTCACTCAAGGTGGGTCAATTTGCTAACGTAATAATAACATTTCGCTGGCTCCGGCTTGGCTTGAGATGATTTGGGTTAACATTAATCGAAATTGGATTCAGTTTTAATTGCTGAGAGGCCATTTTGCTTTTCACTATCGGGTTCCGTACAATCCTATTTCGATTTTGTCAAACCTACATTCTTATCAACATACTTAGATTAACACTTTTGGTGTTTTGGGATAATAATAAAAACTGTACATTTGTTTGTTTTGAATAGATATTCTTTTTTTTGTTTTTGATTACTTTCAATATACCTATTTGTATTTTACATTTATTAATATAGTGATTTTGAGAAGCGGTCATAGTTTTAAAATAATACTCATTAATTAATTTCTTCTATGAATTGTTTGTTAAAATATTTAACTTTTGTATAACATATAATTTTATACATAATTGTCTTATTTTTATGAGAATTTAATGTGTAACATATGAATATCATACATTTGTTACAGAAATACGAAGCATATCCTTTCCGGTATGAGCAGGCGGTGTATAAGAAGCCTTTGAGAGAACATGAAAAGCCTCAGGACCTTAGCAACGTCCCTGGCGTTCCCGGAGTCGACTTTCCGATATACCACTCAGTCCCAGAGACCAGCTTTTCGTGTGCTCATGTACCTATCCATCCTGGAATGTATGCCAACGTAGAAACTGGATGTCAGGTATAATGATTACTACAACTATTGTAAAATGTGTTAAAAGTACCTTGTGTTTGTATTACAATTGTATTTAATATTATTATTTATTACTTTAAAAATATTTTCACAATCTTATAGTCATGTAGAACTAAATATGGAGATTCTATTTAAAGAAAAAAATCGCTACGTTAAATCTAACAGAAAACGTTTGTGACATTTTTAAGTGACACACGAAAAAGTGTTACTAACGAAATGTTTGCTCAAACGCCTCACTCCACAAATGACCCGAGTCGGTTCTTGGTTATTTTTGAACTATTTTAAATGGAATTATCTCGTTGAAAGTCAACTGAAAGGAAACTAAAAATTTTGTTGTAATATTATTACAATTTTCTTTGTTACATGGATAACTATGATAAATTTACAATATAAGATAATAAAATCTGTAGTTTGCACGCGATAAAATGGTAAATTGTAATAAAAAGAAAAATAATATCAAAAGTTGACGTAAATGACATTATTACAGAATATCAAATGTTCTTAAATTTAATGTCGCTTAAAATGTTTGTTCATCATTTAACCGTGTATTTAATATGAGGCACAGTAATACCTGAAATACGAATACTCGGAATTTAAATATATATTGACGTATGTCTATGATTGTATTTATTTATTTATCAAGTCATATTATTATTTTCTTTATTATATAATAATTCTTGACAGTACTAATAATTTTAAGAGGCCCTGTTTACTATAATAATATATAAGGAAGACTGTTCCTTTTCTTTGAATTCTGCTTAATCTAAAATTGCGATTAGATTTCCTTTCAAAGTTTTTGCATATCTTAGTCATTGAACCCTCAGTTCGAACTCTAAATAATCATGTTATTTTCACGTAGCAAAATTACTATGGCCAATCAATTTGCCCTAAATTGAATAAGTTTGAAGATATTGTTAGCGCGCATGACTAACCTAACCTAACTCTTGTGCTGTAATCCAAAATTATAATTTGAATCGCGTTATTTCTAAGAAATTAATGAAGTTGAATTTACAAAAGAATCAAATCTTGAAAGTTAGTGAAAGGGAAACTCATTTTAATAATGGAACATTTTAAATGAGAACGGTTTAACAATTAAATTTGATGATACTTTAATAATAATTGGGATTGTTTAAATTAAAAGTATAGACTTGTTCATATTGTAGATAGTAATAGTAATGAAATGTAAATACAAAAAATCATTTCGAATGATGTGGGAAATATAAACATTTATAATATTAACTTTCTCTGTACTGAAGATTCTGTTTTATTCCAATATGTGATTCCCAATTCAGACCTTGGCACTCGTCAATAGTGAAGTAGTAAAGAATACGCATATTGACACACTTGTATACAAATAATCTAATATATAAAATTCTCGTGTCACAGTTTTCGTGCCCATACTCCTCCGAAACAACCTGACCGATTTTGATGAAATTTTTTGTGCTTATTCGGTAGCTATGAGAATCGGCCAACATCTATTTTTCATCCCCCTAAATGTTAGGGGTAGTCCACCCCTAAATTTTTTTTTTTATTTTTTAAACAAAATTTTTAATTACTATTTTTTTATGATACAACGTACAAAAATACATACAATCCTAAATTTTCACCCTTCTACGATCAACCCTTATTTTTTAATAGCTATTTTAGTAATTTAATCATTTTTCATCTCCGGTCGATAACTGATCAATCGTCATTTAATAAGTTATCCCCGCCAGATATCTACAGGTGTCACTTCTGACCCAGTAAACAGCACGGAGTAGGGATGAGAACGAAGCCGGTCTTCTGTTTCTCTCACACAATTAGACTTCTCTCACTCCCTACACAGTTGTCGGCCATCGTTATTGTTTGTGCATCAAGTGTAGTAGTAACGTTGACAATTATTATTTTGCTAGCTCAGTGTAACTCTCATATTAACTATTAATCATTCCTAATCACTTCAAAACACGGAGATTTATGGCTTTAATAGGTAAACTCCAAAAATATAAATAAAAAAACGTAACAGATATTTCTTGATTATAGGGCGAAACGAAGTTCGCCGGGTCTTCTAGTAATAATATAATACCCATTTGTATGTCCAATAATAATTTTGTTATTAATAATTGAATATTCTAAAGGTTGAGTAGTTAATATTTTAAAGATTTTTATTATCTGAGTATGGATTAAGTTCTGGCTCATTGATTCAGAAACGTGCTTTGCTTCCACGATATTATCACTTAAAATATATTTACATATATAAAGAACAGAGTACATTTCTTTGTAGTTTATATATATAAACACAGGCAGTTTCTTGTATGATCTCTGAATACTTATGAAAGAACTTTTTTTGATCTAAAAAATTTTTTCTTTTTTTATCTTAAATAGGTTTTTTTTAATAATTTCTTCTTGCTAACTATAACTTCATAACTTCATAACTTCATTTATCTTTAGAGATAATGATTCACTTTACTTAAAATAAAGTAATTAATATATTTCAGGCATACCACGTGTGTCACGACGGCCGCGAGGGTCACCAGGGAGCGTCCTTCCTTTGTACTAACGGGACACTTTTTGATCAAACAAAATTTTCTTGCGATTGGTGGTACAATGTCGACTGTTCTAAGGCTATCGAACACTATAAGTGAGTAAACGGTATTATAATTTAATATCGGCCGGTTTTATAGACGGAAATAAATCATAATGAGATCTAAGATTACCGTGAGTACTCATTTAAATGACACTAATATTTTCGGATTTACTATGCGATTTTTAATTTTTGATTTTAAGCTATGTATATACTTCCGGCGTTTCGGCTACTTTACGGCAACCGTGAATCATCTCGACTGCCCGTGATCACGGTTGCTGTAAAGTAGCCGAAACATCGGAAGTATGTAGTTTATAGTCAAAAATAAAAAATGGCGTAGTTAATCCGAAAATATGAGTTTCATTTAAAGAAAATAAATCAATAAAGATGGAAAAATTAAATGGTTGTTCTACAGAGCGAAGTTAAGGAAAATTGCTATTATTAAGATTTTCCTATCCCGTGTGATGGTAAAAGTATCGAATGTTAATACATTTTGATATATTAGTAGCTATTTGAAATGCGTCCGAGTGTCGATGTTCCGAAAATTTCAGGTCCGAAGCTGATTGGTGTTTACTATTGTTTTATATATTTTGTTTATATTCATTTGAATTTTAATCAAGATATGAATAGAGTTTTTGATATTGAAAATGTTTTGTCAATATTTCCTAAAATTTAATGTTTTTACCTATATTTTATTAAAAAAATATATACCTAAGTCACTACATTTCTGTTTCCCATTTCTAGACTGAACGCGGATCCTTTAAAGAATCCATATGTGCCAAAGCCGAAACCCGAAGAATTGCAAGAAGAACCGCGCGGCGTTTACTATAGAAAGTTATATGATTAAGTTAGCTATCACGAGTACAAAAAATAATTTAGTTTTCAACAGGAATTAAATTATATATAATCTATATACATCATTAGTTTAACCAATTCATTAAAATTATTATGATATCCATATAGATGAAAAAAAATAATCATATTAGTGATTTTAACATATAAATATTTTATTCACACATTATTTGTATTTATTTTACATTCATCAAAATGTCTTTTCACATTCATCATCACCGAAGCATTCATTTATTTTTAATCATGGTTTTTTAACACACATTCAACTTTTCCTTTATTTTTCAAACTTTGAAAAATATTCATGATATTAAAGAGTTTTTTTTTTGAAATAAAGTAATAAAACTCCATTCTATCTTTTATTACTTAACATGTAATCAGCAGATTTTCCTAAAAATCTACATTTCATATATTAATAGTATGTACGTTAGTCAAATATATATGTTTATATTTTTAATGCTATAAATTTTATTTGTATTAATTGTTCTCCTTATTTATTAGACACGATAGTGGCATCATTTAAGCCATTGAAAGCGAGAAATTTTGCCATCGGTAATAACCGCACTAACGTAATAACAGCCTTTTCACTGTAGTATTTAAGATTCATTAATTTCACTTGGTAGGAAACTCAAACACAGGAAGAGTGTTCTACTTTTTGCTGTGCGATGCAGGAACAGCGAAAGGTATCGCTTAGTCTAGATACTAAATAGGTATACAATGAAAGGATAATTTCTCAATGTGAGTCTGTTTTTTAGTTGACAAGAAGGTTTATCTTATACAAGGTCTGCAAGACATCTACAACACCTCTTATATGTATTACAGATGTCCATGGACAACGGTAATTACCTCGGTAGAATGTCCTTTTTTTTTTGATGTCGCAGGGAAACTCTTTTACGAGCCGTCCAACCGGCCTTGGTGGGGCCGGAAGGGATGTGTGAGACTCGACCTGGGCAGGCCCCTACTCACTAAAACCACTAAAAAAGCCATCGGCCGCTATGTTGGTGTATCCCGGATCTGACCTGGCAGAATGTCTGCCCGTTTGCTCCTATGAGTCATAAAAAAAAACCTATGTACCTAGAGGTTGGATACATTTCGCCTGTAGTTTAAGATGATTAGACTGGAATTAACTAAGTTGTTAGTAAAATTTATTGATGACCACAACCTGTTTATTTCCCGTACCTCTACGGAGTCCAAGTCAGAATTTTCACTATGTTAATTATTTAATTATAAGTTAGTAAAAATTAGAAAAGTGATTTATAGGTTATTAGATTTTTGGATTTACAGGTATCAATGGCAAAATATTAAGTTTTTTTCATATTTTAAATTTTTATGTTGTGTTTTGATTCCTGCTGTTTTGTTTATTTAGGTTCCGCCAATCTCCAAGGAAAGTGGGAATATTATTTTATGGAGATAGTACTCTCACCACCTAAATTTTAATCCCTACTTATCATCAGGAAGATAATAGCCAAGAACTATATATACTGTTTCACTTAAAAATATCAAATGTAGGTTGCACGTAAAACAATCAAAATCACTACATATTACAACTTGTTGTGTAATTTAAATGTCGATCTTAGTGAGTCGATTCTTATTTATAATTGGCAGGTAAATAAAAATAAACGTCCTAAGTATAAATGTGTGACACTGATTATATTTTGTTGAAAATGATTGCTAGGTGGTTTTAAAATTACACTTATAAAAACTAAGTTCAATATTTTTTTATATTATTAATCAAATCACACAAACATTTCCGCGTACTCGCATGAGTTGGTAATAAATGAATACTATATGTTTAGCCAATAGAAACCAATGGTTCTGCGATATTGGCCTGTGCCCAGCTGATCTTTTTTCACTGTGCCATTCTAAACGACTAATTTATAATTCCACATGCCATAGACGGAAGAAAAAAAAACAGGCAGTATAATAAAAGTAAAATTTTAATAAAGTGATAAATATATTTTGTAGCATTAAATTCGAATCAATTTCAGAACATTTTCAATGTTGAAACAAATAAAAAAATATGGACTATTTATGTAGTCATACTTTTCAACAAAAATGAAAAAGCAATATTGTGAGGCTAATAGTCCCTTTTGAATATAACTAACAACTTTAGTTCAAGTTGCCAGTGTCAATTATTATTATTGAGTCGGTATTGCCAACATGAAAAATAGACCATGCTGTAACTATTTTTCCGCTATAAACATCGGAGTGTAATTGAATTTCTGATTGTTGAAGAAAATGTTCGCGATGCGATCTGAATCGTTTTCGATATGAATGAAGGCAAAGCGAAATAAGAGCTTTTTTTGTTGTTATTTTCATTTTTAGCCTTTAGACATTTAGTCGTAATTATTTATTTATGTTTTTTTTTAATTTCCTTTCACCCATTTAGGAATATTTTAAATTGTATTAAAGTGACTTACAATTTATTTCATTTAATAAACATATCATGTAAGCGAGAACATTTTAAAGTATTTGCAAAGGGACATTTAGCTAAATCTTAAATTTTTATTTTAATGCACGACGGTGATTATGTTGATGTTTTTTTAATCTCTTATAACGTCAGCTTAGGCTCACTTACAGATAAAACTGTTTTAAACTAAACTGTTTTAAAAATATTAAAAATCACGTAATAACACGTTTTCTAAATTAATGTAGTATCTTGTACACATATTGGCAATGGGCAAGTCAACGGATAATAAGGGGATCTCCTTAATACAGATATTTAATTTTCATGGTTTGGAAGACAATAATTCTTAAGATAAACTGTTTATCAGTTACCGTAAATTCATAAACTAGACTTACCTATAACGACCTTTCATCATTTATCATATAGCTCTATATAAATTGACAAACTTATTTCAAGAAAATTATAAACTTAGTTACAATCCGGAAAAGTACCCAAATTTGTCAATGACCTTAAATGTAACAAGTTTACTTGTATATAGTTACATTTCGTTGTATATCTTTATATTTGACTGATCTTAATTAAAAAAAAAACTAGTTGTTAAAAGCAAAATCAGAGTCAGAGTTTCAATGGGTTCAACTATCTATTATCCGACATCCACAAATATAGTTTCGAGGAGCGAACTTTTAATCCTACGGGATAACAAAATCCACACTATCTTAAGATGTCATATTTATTTCACTACCAACATATATGTATGTACTATTAAAACAAATATGTTATTTGTGTTTTTTTAGAAGAATTCTTGAAAGTAACTGAAACGTCAATTTAAAATATGTAATTATAATCAAATTACTCAATATCAATATACGTAACTTCCTAAACTGTATATTATCAATTTAAATGTGTACTACACTTGGACATAGATACTATGAAAATACAAAATGTTTACTGTAAGTGAAATAAATGTCTTGTTCCATATAAAGTCAAATTTCGGAATCTTTCAAAACCCATACAATATTCGTTTACAAGACAAAATTCCGCGACTTCTGTTTAAAGGCCAATTCAATATCAGTCAGATAAAAGTCAATAAGCATATTTCATATTTTTTATATTTATTGTAATACAATATAATTTATATTAATTAATTATTTAATTAAACTAAGTTATAAAAAGGTAATGATTTGTTCAGTTTCAATTTATTGCCTTCTTTTGAAAACATAATGGATTTTAATTTTAAATGAGATACTTAGTATTTATGACTGGTATGTATAAATTGTATCGTATATAGGGAATAAACAGACAGTCATAATAAATGAAACCAAGTTTCCAGAGCTCATTTACCATCGCCCTTCCCCCCCATATTTCTATTTTTATAGTAGCAACACACTTTCCTACAACATATTACCTAATGAAAAAAAAAAAAAACAATTTAAAAGAGTAACTTTTGTACTGGTTTTAATTTAAATTCTAGATCGTTTTAGGCCTGTCAGTGTTACGGACCAATTGACAAGTTTCGTTTTTGGTCTGTTCATTACAGTTTGATAATTTCATCCACAGCTATTCTTTAAAACGATAATCTATTTTTATACTGAGATAAAAATTCATAGGATTAGATAACTTATAGTTGCAATTAAAAAAAGAATTACGGAATCTTTAATGCTTAAAAATTATTATTATTATTATTATATTTTTTACAAATAAATAAATAAAATAAATATTTTTTTATGTAAAAAGTGGCAAACGAGCAGACGGGACACTCGATGGTCAGTACTGACCGTCGCCTATGGACATCCACAACATAGATGTTGCGGATGCGTTGCCAACCTTACTTATGGGGGAAAAGGGAGGAGTGGGAAGAAGGAAATATAAGGAAAGGCTGGGAATAGGGAAAGGGCAACCGGCTCTCTCACTCATCGGACAAAACGCAGTCACTATTGACTACTTCACGCCGATCTTCTGTGAGAGGGTGGTACTTCCCCGTTCGAGCTAGCCGATATTCGAGCTGAACTAACCAAACTATAGCTAGGCTCTACCACCTAAAAATAATATTACCTATATATAATATTCTATAATAATTTTGTTCCTTGATCTTGAATCACGGTATTTCGTTAAAAATAATTATAAACGTGTAGTAAATCCGAAAAATATTAGTCTTAAGTCAAGAAATACTCTTAAAATTTTTAGATCTCGCTATACAGGGTGACTGGTGAATTACTATCAATATTTAAGGAGAATACTCGGTACATGATTCTCATTCGAATTATGTAAAAAAAATAGGCACTTAATTTTTGACAAAATTTCCGTATAAATAAATAAAGTGTTGACACGTTCCAAGTGTTCCAAGTGTGGACGCGAATGTGTGAGTGTGTGTATACCTAATCTGTAGGGTGTTCACACGATGCGTAATTTATTACATAACTTTTGGTTAACTTTACTTAGAAGTTTATTAATATTTATGTTATATTAATTTTTATTTTGTCATATATGATCGTCAAATATCACGTCCTCAAGTATCGATAGTAATTCACCAGTCACCCTGTATAAGAATTGCTTTTTTTGTAATCATAAGCTCAATTAATATTGGTTAACAT